GCCTAGTGGACAAGCTGGGCTGGGCTGAAGGGCTCTGGAGAGGACAGACCGCATGTCACCTCCCGACGGCAGCAGGGCAGAGCGTACCACTGCTTCCGGCAGATCCAGGCCTAGCTCTGCCCCGAGAGAGCCTGGCTGTGCAGGGCGTGCCCACGCCAGCTCTCTGTTCCCTCCCTTCGGCGGTCAGACCTGCGGCCAGAGGCTGCTGCTGGGCCAGAAGTGATTCCCCACTTCCCCCTCGGGGGAGCTTGCCTCTGGGTCGCTGTAGTTGGTGTTCAGAGGATGGATTTCCAAGTGGGGTGTACCCACCGCCAGCATGTGTCCTGCTAGGAAAAAAGGGTGGGCGTCGGGGCTCCTGGGAGTGCCCGGATCTGCGGGATCCATGTCCATGTGTCGCTGAGCCCCTCAGCTGACCCTGATCTTCAGCTGGGCAGACGCAGCTCAGGGCTCCGGCTGCAGCGGCGTGTGCAGGGGCCGAGCCGAGGGCAGCTCCCCTGCAGGGCTTTGTCACAATCCTTTCTTCCTGTCAGGGTGGGAGTGGCCCCGGGGGGTTTCTTGGGTTGCTGGGGTTGTGGCAGGCCTCTCTTCCGGCCAGGTTTTTAAGGCGGGGGTGCGACTTCGTCACCACTCCCTACTGCAGCGTGGGTGCCTGACAGCCTCGGTAAATGCTGGGCTGAGAGGACGGAGCTGGCTCAGAGCAGAGAGGCGTGGCGGGGGGGGGGGGGGCAGTGAATGGGGCTGTGCAGGTGGAGCGTTAGAGAGGTAATGGCCACAGGATTGAGGACGCCCTGAGAGCTGCCGGCCACTGCATCTACGCCCACAGCACCTGACAGGGCCCACAGCCCCAGCCACTGAGCGACAGCCCTAGTGCCAGACCCCGGTGCCCCAGTCCCTGGCCTCCCTCCACCTCTGAACTCCACTGAGGCTGCTCCCTGCCTGCGCTCAGCGGTCCAGGCCCCCAGCTCCACACCCAGTAGCCAGGGTCTCTCTCTCTCTCTGTGGTGGCCACCCAGCCTCCTCATTGGCTGGGCAGGATGAAGACTCTGCCCTGGCCTTCACCTTGGCCCTGAGCCTGGGTTACACAAGCACCGCTTCCCCAGAGGTGGGGATGGAGGCAGGGAGTGCGTGTGTGTGTGAAGCTCTGACCACTAAGGGAGTGAGTGCTCAGGGCGTGTGGTCACCTGGCAAGCTGGAGCCCCCCTGTCCACTCCAGGCCCCTGCCCTGCCCCACGGCAGGGTGACAGCAACAGCTCAGCAATGGAGTGTAATGACGTAGAACGAGCCTGCGCACTTCCCTAACCCTGCCCAGCTCTCCACGCATTCCTCATGTGGCCACAGCGGCCATACCGCTTATCAGGCGCCACCTGGCTTGCCTGGGGTTTGGAGGCCGTGGGGCCTGTGGGCTGTGGTCGGATGTGGGAGTCGGGAGGCCCAGCTTCCGCTGGAGTCTCCACCACCCGCACTGACTGGGCCTGACCCGCCCTCGCTGGACTCCCTGCAGCTCCCTCTGGGAAGTGGCCTCCAGGGTCCTTGCAGAGGCTCCCGGCACTGCTGCCCGGAGCCACCGACTGTCTGCCTTTTGGGAGTGGGACACTTGTCTTGGTCCCCCCCTCCGTGGGGAGACTGCCTCCCTGTGCTGGCCCAAGTGTTGCCCCCGACTGGGAGGCTGAGCTGGTGCCGTGGGGCTGCCGTGCTGGTGGAGGGATGGCATCTGGGGTGGCCCACAGGGTGCCGAGGATGTGCCCTAGGCCGGTGGGCTGCGGTTGGGAGAACCTGCCGTGGCAGGGCGCACAGACCTGTGTGTCCTCTGGGGCATGGGCTGGGGATGGCAGAGGGAGCAGCTGGCCTGCGTGGGCAGAGCCTGGCTGAGGCTGGCCCCTCGCATGCTGTCCCTGCAGAAGGAGGGGGAGTTCACGCTACACAGCCGGGCCATCCTGGAGATGGAGCAGTACATCCGGGAGACGTTCCCTGACTCTGTGAAGAGCTGCAACATCTGCCACGGCCTCCTCATCCAGGTACCGAGGCGGGCGGGGCTCCCCGGGCTCCTCCTCCCACTGCGCCGCAACTCAGCTGACGGATGGCCGCCGCTGTGCTGGCCTCAGACCCCTGGGGACCGTTCCCTTAGGTCATTCCCAGAGAGGAATTCCAGGGACCAGGAGTGCCCGTGCTTTTTTTTAAAGCTCTGGCCCATGTTGTAAATGGCCTTGTGCGGAGCTGTGGCCGCCTGGGCCTGCCCACCCCCACACACAAGATCTGAGGCAAACCCACTGCGCCAGGGACTTGGGGCATATTGTCAGCGTTAGCTCGGGGCCTGGGAGACGGAACGCTACAGCTGCTGCTGGCCGTCTCCCTTGCAGCTTCCCTGAAGGTTTGGGGAACCCGGAGGTGTGTGCTGGCTCCACCGTCACTGGCCTTCCATTTCAGGGTCAGAACTGCGAAACCTGTGGCATCCGGATGCACCTGCCGTGTGTGGCCAAGTATTTCCAGTCGAACCCGGAGCCGCGCTGCCCCCACTGTAATGACTACTGGCCCCACGAGGTCCCAGGTTTGTGGGCCCCGATGTGCGTACCCCTGCCGGATGTGGGAGAGCCCGTGGGGACGGGCACCGAGAAGGGCTCTGTGCACATGCACGCCTGCCTGGTGGCCCGAGTCCCATGGGCTGTGGTGCTCACTGCAGTAGGTGGAGGCCGACTGGCCCCAGCCTGGAAGGCTCTAGGCGGACGTGGCCCAGGGCCCTGGGTGTGGGGAGTGGCTGTTGCAGCCGGCCTTGCCGCTCACCAGCTCTTCCCGACCTGTTCTGCACGCAGACGTCTTTGACCCTGAGAAGGAGAGGGAGGCCGGCATCTCCAAACCCACCAAGAAGTCCTCCCGGTCCCGACAGCATTAGCTGCAGGCTCGCCGCCCCCAAGGCCTGGCCGCCACAGCCCTGTTGGGAAGAGGCGTCCGTGTTTCCTGTTTCACACAAACCACTTTCCTTGTTTCTGTGTCCACTCTGAGCAGGTTTGGAATAAAACTGTGTAAGGCGCTGCTGCTGCCGCCTCAGCCTGGGCTCTGGAGCGGGAGGTGGCCACAGCCTTCCCTGTCCTGGAAGTGCTTACCCAGAAGCCCTCGGTGTGCGCCCAGCGGGTGCAGCTGGGGCACTGCTCCTGCACGAGGGGGTACGGGGCCCGAGCCACTCCCGCCCAACAGCTCATTGTCCTCGCTTCGGGGAGGGGGGAGCATTGCCTGCAGTCCCAGCTGTACTCGGTCATCCCTTCAGGACTCGGCCAGCTCCAGGCTGAACCTGCGAGTCACAGCCTTGTTCTCCCCTGTTCCCAGCAGTTTGGACCCCAGGGTGATGCTGGCCTCCCCAGGCATGAGCGGGAAGCAGGGCTGCACTCCTGCCCCCTCTGGCCCCCGTGCCCCTCTTGGTGCATGGCAGCCCCACCCCTGCAACCGCCCCAGCTGGGAGCCTGGGAGTCAGCCCAGGTGCTGCCTCATGCTGGCCCTCCTGTGTCCACTGTCACCAAGTCCTGCCCAGCCACCTGCCAAAGGGCCCAACCCCCTGGCTGCTGCCCTGGGCTGGAAGCAGCACCATCTCACTCGGCCTTTCATTTTATTTGAAAGGCAGAGACAGAGATCTTCCATTGGCTGGCGCTCTCCCCAGATGTCTACAACAGCCAGGGCTGGGCCAGACCAAAGCCAGGAGCCCAGAACTCTATCTGGGTCCCCCATGTGGGTCTTGAAGCCATCATCCACTGTTCCCAGGATGTGTACAAGCAGGAAGCTGGCTCAGAAGCGGATGGAGCCAGGACTTAACCCTGGCCCTCGTTGTAGGATACGGGCATCCTAGGTGGTGACTACTGCACCACACCCTGCCCCGCGTGACCTTGGCCTCCCAGCATGCAGGCCATGGTCCACACCCGCTGGATGGCTCCAGCTGCACCGTGGTTTGGTCTCTACTCCAGGAGGCTCCATGCAACCCCCAGGACGGCCCCTGCTTGTGCCCCTGCCTCTCCCTGCCCCACTGTTCAGCCGTGCAGCATTTCTTTCATCTGCTTCTCACCCCACAACAGCAGGGCTGGGCCAGGTTGAAGCCAGGAGCTTTATCCGGATCTCCGGTGTGAGTGGTGCTCATGGGATGCTGGCACTGCGTGGTGGCTTAACCTGCTCCGCCACAGCTACTGACACTCGTGGCAAAATTTCAAATGATAGATGAAACCAAACATCTATAGTCCTTTTAAAAAGGTTTATTTATTTGAAAGGCCGAGTTAAGAGTGAGAGACAGGTCTTCCGTCTGCTGGCTCACTCCCTAAATGGCTAGAATGGCTGCGACTGGCCGCCTCACCCGGGTCTCCCACATGGGTGCAGGGGCCCACGTCCTCCGTTGCTTTCTCAGGCACATTGGCAGGGATTGGATTGGAAGTGGAGCAGTTGGGGCTCAAATTGGCGCCCATACAGGATGCCGGCTGCCTGATAGGCCACGGCACCGGCCCCGTCCACCCTTACTGCTGGCCTAGAAGCACCCGCAGCTGGAGCACCGTGGCCGTGCACATGTACGTGCTCACTGTGCACATTAGGAACTGCGTGTCGCTCGGCGTGACGTGGCGGCTTCTCAGGACAGAAACGTGCACTGCTCTAAAGGGCTGTTTGGCACGGAGCGGTTAGGATGTCCCGGCTTTGCTGTCCCTGTCCCTGCCGCCCGGGCCATCCAGCGTTTCCTTAGGGCGGGTTCCCAGCAGGCGTGTGAGGGGCTCGCCCGGGTTCTGGTTTCTGGTAGCTGAACTGCGCTCCCACCCCCAGCCTGAAGCAGACTGTGAACCCAGTAGGGATCTGTTTCAGGTCATCTTGCAGCACTAGTGAGTTGCAACTCTTAGCTTTGTTAAGCTTCCTCTATATTTTAAAGTACATTTAGAATTTACCTTATTGCACATGGGGTTGGGGATGAACCATCCACTGGCTCACTCCCCAAACACCCAGGAGCCAGAACTCAGTCCGGGCTCCCACTGCGGGGCAGGGACCTGACTATGGGAGCCGTCACCGCTGCCTCCCAGGGTGTGTGTTGGCAGGGAGCTGGGACTGGAAGTGGAGCTGGGGCTTGAACCCAGGCGCTCCGATAGGGCTGCGGGAGTCTGAAGCGGCGGCTTAACCATGGCAGACACCTGCTCCCTGTTTCTTTGGGACTTGGCCTGGGATGAATTCCTCTCCCTCACGGCCGTCACGTGTGGTGAATGCTGTCACCGCCCAGACAACCCCTAGGAACGGCCGCTCATTTGTGCTTCTCCCAGAGGGGACCTTTTAATGGTGAAACAAAGTCCACAGAAAGCCTGAAGGTGGGGTCTCTGGGGGAGGGGGCAGGAGGGGCGGCGTCCACGTGCAGAGCGGCTCTGGCCCTTTCCGCGGAACCTGTGCCCTCCACGGGCAGCTGGCCCTGTGGCAGCGAGGCTCACAGAGGCTCTCCCGTCAGTCAGCGGGGCACCGTGCCCCGGACCAGGCCAGGAAGGACCCTCCCCGGGGCCCGCTGGCTACGGAGGGAGATGGCATGGTGGTGGGGCCGCCAGGCTGAGTCCTCGTCCTCGCCTCCCCCTGCACACGCCCACCACCTGGCCCACCCCACACGTCGGAGGCTCTCGGATGCCTGCCTGGAGTGCCCTGGGTTCTCCCGGCCTTCCTTGGCCATGCCCACCTCGCCCGGGGTGGCTCCATGCTCCCAGGGCAGCCTGTGGGTGCCGCAGACCCCGGCAGCTGCCCTGCCGGCTACGCCCACCAGAAGCTGACGGAGAAGCTCAGGTCGAGCGCCCGCACGTAGTGCCAGTGCGTGGCGGGGATGAAGAGCATCTCGCCAGGCGACAGGATGCAGGCCAGCGAGGGGGCCTCGGCGAACCTGGGGAACCTCTCCAGGTCTGGGGTCTCCACGTCCACCTGGAGGAGGCACACGACGTCGCTGACTGGGGGCCGGGGCCAGGACAGGGGACCCAGCAGCAGCACCCCGGTCCCCGCGGGCCCACCTGGCTCGTGTTGTGGAGGAGGGGCGTCTCGTGAGGGTACAGGGCGTCGGAGTGCTGCGGCGAGTACAGCCGGAGGTACTTCCTCCCCAGCACCTGCAGCACAGCGGCGTGTCAGCCGTGGGGGCCTCCGCCCCCCCCCCCCCCCCCATGCTCAGAGCCCCAGTGTGCGCCTTTCCTGCACGCACTCCCAGTCACATTCCCCAGGGCCTGGCAGGTGCCACCGGTGCAGGGGTAATGGCATGGGGCAGCCCGCCTGTACAGGCCCCACCATGTTTGCTGTCTACCTCCCTGTCTTGTGAGGAGCCTGTGGCCAAGACAGCCAGACCCCACGGGAGTGGGGTCGGCCCCCACCTGGACGAGGAAGTTCTGCTGGGGATCCTGGTGCAGCGGGGAGACGGTGCCCCGGGGCCCGAACCAGGCATTGATGGTGATCTCGTCTTCCTCCCCGTCTCCCAGGCAGCAGTAGTCGGGGATACTGATGTCCTGCTTCAGCTCCGGGATCTGCAGGGGCCAGCGACAGGGATGGGGAGCAGGCCGGGGGCGCACCTGCCTGGGGTCCCCCACCCCACAGACAGGGACGGGGAGCAGGCTGGGGGCGCACCTGCCCGGGGTCCCCCACCCCACAGACAGGGACGGGGAGCAGGCTTGGGGTGTAACTGCCTGGCATCCCCCCAACCCACAGACAGGGAAAGGGAGCAGGTCGGGGCGCACCTGCTGGGGGTCCTCCCACCCCACAGACAGGAATGGGGATAGGCCGGGGATGCACCTGCCCGGGGTGCCCCCACCCCACAGATGGATGGGGGGCAGGCCGAGGGTGCACCTGCCGGGGGTCCTCCCACCCCACAGACAGGGACATAGAGCAGGCTGGGGACGTACCTGCCCGGGGTCCCTCCACCCCACATACAGGGATGGGGGTAGGCTGGGGGCACACAGGCCCAGGGGTGCCCCGCACCAGGGACACTGGCAGACACACTGTACTAGGTATGTGTGTGAACAGAAAGGAATTTAAAGGACTATTTAAAAACCGAGTCTGCCTCTCCTTTCTCTGTGTAACTCTGACTTTCAAATAAATAAACCTTAAAAAAAAAAACAAAACCAGCTTGACATTTTTGTAAGAGTCAAGTATCTTTAAAGAATCAAATGAAAGAAAACAGGACTGAATACTTGTCCAATCTCTGGGGAGGAAGATATCCCAAAATTACTAATGGGGAAAAAGTCACAGTTGGTACAGTGAAAATAAGTGAATTACTGTAAAGACACTGAGACTTGCTGGAAGTGACTGGCAAGTGAGGGGCTAACGTGGGGGACAAAGATCTAAGACAGAAACCACCAAGGACAAACACAGGTAACACACAACGGAAGACTGAGAAAGGTTTAAGTCCCCTTAGCACATGAGCCCAAGTGGAATCCACAGCTGAGAGTCAGCTGGGCAGACGGCACCTGGGGGAATAGGGACAGCGACAGAGTGGACGTGCACCCCCGGCTGGAGGAGGGTCTGTGCTGGAGGCTGGGGTGGGGGTGGGGGCTCTCAGCCACCTTCGGGGTTTGGGGTGATGAATGCACATATAAGAGGGAGCTGAGGACTGCCACCCCTGCCCTCTCCTGGACAGCTGGGCACCCACACATCCGTGCGAGAGAAAACGGAAAACACCCCTGCCCTCTCCTGGACAGCTGGGCACCCACACATCCGTGCGAGAGAAAACGGAAAACAGCCACGTGGACCCCTGGCTTCCTACCTTTTTTAAAAAAAGAATGATTGATTGATTTGAAAGAGCAGAGAGAGAGAGAGAATCTTCCATTTGCCGGTTTGCTTGCTCCTTCAATGGCCACAACAGCCAGGGCTGGATCAGGGGGAGGCCAGGAGCTGAGAACTCCATCCAGGTCTCTCACGCGGGTGCAGGGGCCCAAGCACTTGGGCCATCCTCGGCTGCCTTTCCAGGCCACCAGCAGGCAGTTGGATTGGAAGTGGACTAGAACCAGCGGCCATACGGGATACGGGTGTCGCATGGGGCAGCCTGACCTGCTGTTCCACAGGGCCCGGCCCTGGCTTCTCCCTTTTAAAAGCCCAGGGTGAGCACAGAGCACTTGTTCCCATTCCTGGCACACAGTGGGGCCAGGCGCCAGAGGCTGCTCTCTCAGGTCTGCACCTGGGTCGGGGGGGAGGGGGGAGACATTTCCCAAGGCCTCCAGCAGAGCCACTGGCCCACCCCAGCTCTGGAAACCACTCACTCCTGGCAGGCAGGGGGTCACCTCAGGGCAGCCCCAGCCCCCGCGGCCAGGGCGCTCGGATTCTTCATGGGACCCTGGTGGGGCTGAAACAGGGCTGCCAGGAGGGGGCTCGGGTCTTCCCCAGAGTGAAGCTCTCCCCAGCCTGAGGGGCGCTGTGCGGAGCTATGTGCCGCCCCTTCAGGGCCAGTCCCCGTGCCGATGGCAGGGGCCGGCATCAGCACGGCGATTAAGGGCCTCTGGGACACCTGCTCCCTGTATCAGCGCGTGCAGTCTGGCTCCTCCTCCACTTCCCACCCAGCGACCTGCCGATGCATGCGGGGAGGCAGCAGGGGGCCCTGTCACTCCCCGGGGAGAGCTTTGGCCTGGCCTAGCCCTGGTTGGTGCAGCCCTCTGGGGAGTGAGCTGGTGGCTGGAGGATCTCGCTACCTTTCACGTCAATGAAGACAAACAAACATGAAAAACTAACAAGGTCATGTCCACTGTTGCGCGCAGCCACCCACAGATGACGTGGAACCCACAGCGAGGGCAGGGGAAGCCCCGCCCGGTCTCACCTCCCACAGACAGCCCCGGAGTCCTCGGATTCCAGCAGGGCTCTGTGCTGAGCCCCTCCCACAAGCCCTGGTGGAGTGCCAGCCGCCGAGCCGTGCCGACGCCATCCCATTGCAGGCTGCACCCGCAGAGGTGACCAGGGTGGGAGGGTGACCAGGGTGCAGACGGATGGGTGCAGGGCAGTGGGGAGGGGGTGTTCTGGCAGGAGTGTGTCATTGGGGAGCAGGTGAGCTGTGGCGGGGTGGGTTAGCTGTGGTGGGGTAGGTTACTATGGTAGGTTAGTATGGTAGGTGGGGTTAGTTATGGTAGAGTAGGTGAGCTGTGGTGGGGTGGGTTAGCTGTGGTGGGGTAGGTTACTATGGTAGGTTAGTATGGTAGGAGGGGTTAGTTATGGTAGAGTAGGTGAGCTGTGTCACGGTGGGTTAATTATGCTGGGGTAGGTTAGTTATGGTGGGTGGAATACTTATGGTGGGGTGGGTTAGTTATGGTGGGGTGGGTTGGTTATGGTGGGGTGGGTTAGCTGTGGTGGGATGGGTTAGTTATGGCAGGGTGGTTATGGTGGGGTGGGTTAGCTGTGGGGGGGTGAGTTAGTTATGCTGGGGTGGGACAGTTATGGTTACGTGGGTTAGCTGTGGTGAGGGTGGGTTAGTTATGGTGTGGTGGGTTAGCTATGGCTAGGTGGGTTAGCTGTGGTGGGGTGGGTTAGTTATGCTGGGGTGGGATAGTTATGGTTATGTGGGTTAGCTATGGTGAGGGTGGGTTAGTTATGGTGTGGTGGGTTAGCTATGGCAAGGTGGGTTAGCTGTGGTGGGGTGGGTTAGTTAGGGTGGGGTGAATTAGTTATATTGTGAAGTAGGTTAGTCACGGCATAGTGAGTTGCTGCAGCAGGGTAGGTGAGCTGTGGTGGGGTGGGTTAGTTAGGGCAGGGTGGATTAGCTGTGGTGGGGTTAGTTATTGTGAAGTAGGTTAGTCATGGCATAGTGAGTTGCTGTGACAGGGTAGGTTAGCTGTGGTGGGGTTGGTTAGTTATAGCAGGGTTAGTTATGGTTGGGGTGGGTTAGTTATGGTGGGGTGGCTTGGTTATGGCAAGGTGGGTTAGCTGTGGTGGGATGGGTTCATTATGGTAGGGTGGGTTAGCTATGGCAGAGTGGGTTAGTTATGGCGGGGTGGGTTGGTAATGGCAGGGTGGGTTAGCTGTGGTGGGATGGGTTAGTTATGGTGGGGTGGGTTAGCTGTGGTGGGATGGGTTAGTTATGGCAGTGTGGGTTGGTTATGATGGGTGAGTTAGCTGTGGGCTGCCGTGCCTGGTTCCTTATATAAAGGCTGCAGCTTGCGCTCACCAGCTGGCCACGTGGCCTTGGCTGTGATGGGCCGCAGGGCAGCAGGGAGCTTGCCTGCCTGGCTCCCTGGACCACCCGCCAGGAGCTCCACCTCCATGTCCCCAGCCTGGGGCCACTGTGAGTGGTCCCCTCACCCCTTGATGAGCTGCAGCCCTCTCTCAGGCGGGGGTGGGGGTGGGGTCCCAGACCCCGGGCCCAGTGGCGACAGCCCCGTGGGTGACACTGGAGCACCGTGTGCCCTGCCCAGGGAGGGGAGGAGTCTCAGACTCACCTGGTCAAAGAGCTGGTGCTGAGCGAGGTACCCGACGTCCCCGGCCTAATCCACGGGAGGAAAGACCACATTCAGACAGGGGCTGTGCCCCGCCCCGCCCCTGCCCCTGCCCCACCCCTGCCCCAGGCTGTGGGACCAGCACTGGGCTAGACCCAGTACTGCGAGATTCGGCTGTGTCACTCCATGATGCGTCACGAGGATCCACGGATCCACACACGCGCGTCTGTCCCATCCAGGCTGCTCTGCCACAGGCTGTGCATGGCTACATAGCTCCTTACGTCGGCGTGCGCCGAAAAGCAGATGCCTGAGTCTCGGGGGTGTGGGTTTTACATTTCAGTAGCTTCTGCCGGGCCACCAGCCCCGAGTGAAATCACCGCGCTCTGCCCGCCCGGCTGTGAGCGCTCACTCTCCTGCATCTCCACCCACGCCAGCTACTGTCATCTTGCGACCATTTCTGCCATTCGGTGGCGAAGACTGATGCTTGGCACACCGCGTTCCCCAGTGTGTGAGGGGCTCTGGGAAGGGAGCCGAGGGCCGCCATAGGGTCACAGGGGGTGGAGTGCAGGGTCGAGCTCTGAGCCCCAAGTGTTGGAGCGGAGGGGAGCTGTCTCCGGCTTTGCACCCCTCTCCATCTTTACCCCCTGCCAGACGGCAAGGCCAGGCGCTGGGCACGGCTCACGTCCAGATCCCCACGAGAGCCCTGTGAGGGGCAGCGGCAGCCTGCGACTCACCCCACCCAGCCCCCAGGTAACCGGAAGTCACGGTGCTGAGTCAGCAGCTGTGGCCACACAGGCTGGGTTCTACCCGGTGTTGCCTGGCCCAGGCCCTCCTCCTGCCTGCTGTGCGCTGGCCCGCTTGGCTGTGCTCTCCGCCCGAGGACCGGGCTGCTTCCCATACACTCGGGGCTGCACGTTCTATGCTCTCGGGACCTTGGAAGAGGGAGCCACCCCTATCCAGGGTGCGATAGGAGACAATGGGAGGTCCCTCGGGAAGTGAGTGACCGTCCCGGGTTGGCAACTACAGAAGACAAACGCCAGTCCCTCCCGACCCCGCAACTCGCACGTGCATGTCCACGGCGGCGTTTTCCACAGTAAGCAAAGAGGGTGAACAGCCCTGCTGGCCAGCCGCAGTCGAGCTCACAGGCAAAACGCGCCGGACGGCCCCGGGCCGCCACACCCACCACAGGTGAGCCCTGGAAACACCCTACTCCCTGCAGGCAGCCACACACTGCAACCCGCAGAGTCGAGCGAGCCCCAGAACCAGACATCAGAACGGGGCGGGGGGGCGGGGGGCTGCCAGGGGCTGCAGGTGGGAGAGGGAACGGGAAGGGACTCCTCATGAGAGGGGGAGTTTTTGGGAGTGATGACACCGTTCTGGAATTCTGATGATGACAGCACAATCTATGAGCGTGCTGAAATCCACTGAATTAACAACAACAAAAGCCTGCAATGAGCCCTCGCGTCTTGTTGGCAGGGCAGCCCACCCTCCCAGCTCTGGCCAGCCTTCTGCCTCAGACTCCCGTGGACTGACGTCCCCCCTCCCCCCAAGACACACACAGCACGCAGGGTTCTCCCCCGGGGTGGGGCGGGGCGGGGCGGACGCCATACCTCGTCCACGATGTACTTGCGGATGAAGTCCCCGACGGTCATGAGCGTCTGGGACCACTCCTCGTCCGTGTATCTGGACCCCACCTCCACTGGGACAGTACGGCAGCCGGCAACCTCCTGGATGTACTCCAAGCTACGGAAGCACGCGCAGGCTCGGTGTCAGTGCTGGGCGTGGGGCTGAGGGCACCTCCACTTGGAGGTGGACGCCCACTGTCGCCCCATGCCAGCACAGAGAGGGCAGTGACCTGCCGGGGTCACACAGCTAATACTGTATGGCTATGACCCTGGATCTCTGGGCTGCTCCAGTCCCTGGGGCCACGAGTGTCCTTCTCCGCTAATCCTGTCACTCAGCTGGGACACTGAAGCAGGTGCCTTAACCGCTCTGAGCCCCTGCTCCCCACGGGGTGACAGAGCCTGTCCCAGGGGAACCAGGGAGAGTAAGACACGGTCAGATGTGGCAAATGCCTGTCCTGGTGCCCGGTCCCCAGTCCTGCCGGGTTGACAGCTCCCACAATACTTGCCCGTGAGTCTCAGTGGGCGCTGCTCTCTCCAAGGCTGACCCCCTGCGCTGTCTTGGAGACACAGGGGATTTGTGGCACCCCCGCTGGACAGCAGAGTCCTCGGAAGCTCCAGTCCCTTGTATAAAAGGGAGCGGCATTTGCATATAACCCGCACACATCCTCACGGGGTCCGGGTCACCTCTAGGTGACTTCTAACCCGCAATGCAGTGCAATGCCCATCAACAGCTGGGTTATGCTCCCTAGAGGAGGGAACAACGGTGGGAAAAGCAGAGAGGCCTCCCTCACAGCCTAGCTGTGTCTCCACCGAGGCTGAATCTGCAGATACGGAGCCCCCTCCATGGGCCTGGGCAGAGAGCAAACACAGCAGGGCTGGGAGCCCCACCGAGGGGCTGCAGGTGACTGGGGTCTCCCCTGCTTCACCTGCGGGGGTCCCAGTGCCCCAGCTTCTACCCCTGCACAAGAGGGGCTGACCCTGAAGCTCTCCTTGGGCACTGGTTTAGAAACTGCTTCGGGCCAGCAAAGCTGTGGAGGGGGAGACTCTGGCTGCCTCTGGGGCACCTGACTCTCAGCTCCTGCTGAAACCCCATGATCGGTGCCAGGGGCTCCGCTGCCTTGGCCTGGAGGGGCAGGGACTCGGGAGGCCCTAGGGACTTGAGATGGGGGGCTCCTGGCCCTGCAGCCATCACACACCTCCACTTCTTCATGCAGGGCCAATGGTCCACCACGCCCTCCAAGACCACTGGCCTCCCGGGCAGCAGGAAGTGCTCCCTGAAGTGCTGGAGAGACGGGCGGCGCAGCCGGGGCACCGCGCTGTCCAGCGTCACCTCCGGAACCGGGACCGGGTCACTCCTGGCTCTCTACAATGGAAACCAGACAACAAACGGCACAAGCTGAGAGGCAGCACGTGAGGCACCCCCAGGCACAGCAGGGACAGCCTGCGTGTCATCCACAGTCCCAACAACAGAGGGCGCTAGCTGTTATTACGGCGACTGCACCGAGGCCTGCCCGTCCCCTGTCCTGTCCCCTCCTGTCTTCCATGCACACCTGCTCTGCCCACGGGCAGGAGCCGTTATGACCAAGGGGCAGCACTACCTCCCCTGCAGATTCTTCCTCGGCCATCTCCCCCTCCCCATCGGGGAACCTAAGCCAGTCCCTCCCCGTGCTGCTGGGAGTCAGGACCCCTCCTGCCCCAGGAAGCACCCAGGCCCGCCGACCAGCACATGTTGGCTCCCCTGCTCTCCACACTGTCACAGTCCTCTGAGATGGACGGGGAGCCGCCTTCCCTGGCCTCCCTCCTACTCCCCTGCCCAAGAGATGCCGTTCTCCTGCCACTCACCCCCGGGTGAGCCCCAGAGGCCAGGGCACATGCGCAGCCCTGCGGCACTGGGACCCTGTGCAGCAAATGCCCTCTTCCGGGGGCCTGGGGAGGCCTGGAGGCTGGGACCCTGGCCTGGGTCACGGGAAGAAGGTGATTCCAGAGCCCACCACACAGCCCCACACAGAGGCTACCCTGGGGGTGAGGCTGCCTCCATTTTCCCTTGGGACAGACGTGGCCGGGGGAGGGGACTGATACTCATCCTGTAACCTGCATGTCTGCCCTGTCCTCTTAAAGGCCTACCACTGGGGCTGGCGTTGTGGCCCACCGGGTTAAGCCGCCTCCTGCAGCACTGGCATCCCATATGAGCGCTGGTTCGAGTCCTGGCTGCTCCACTTCCAAGTCAGCTCCCTGCTAATTGTGCCTGGGAAGGCAGTGGAAGACAGTCCGAGTCCTTGAGCCACTGCCACCCACATGGGAGACCCAGATGGAGCTCGGGGCTCCTGGCTTTGGCCTGGCCCAGCCCTAGCTCTTGCAGCCATCTGGGGAGTAAACCAGCAGATGCAAGATTTCTCCCTCTCTCTTTGTAACTCTGCCTTTCAAATAAATAAATCTTTTAAAAAAATTTAAAAAGGGCAACCAACACGCCCTGCCCTTGGCCCCACGGTGCCCGTGGCAGGACGGGATTCTATAAACCTGCTTGCTCATCGGGATCTCTCATTTTTCTCCAAGCCCACGTGACGCAGGACAGGTTTCAGTGTGTGCTGAGCAGCCGGCTTCCCTTGGGGGAAGACAGCATATGCTGCTGGCACCCGGAGCCCAGACCCCTCCTGGGCGTCAGGGCAGCCCTTACAGAACCCAGGGGTCCACTCTGGGCTGTGCGACCACCTCCCTCCCTGCCCCCCCACCCCGGGGGGGGGTGTCCTCCTGTTCTGGTGGCGCCCACCTGCATGTTCTGATACAGACATAACATTCCTTCCAGGGGGTTCTAGAAACATTCAGATAAGTGTCAGTGACACCCCCACAGCCCTGCTCCCCACTGCCCGGGACATCTAAGGCTTTTCTTTCGGGGGAAGGGACTCTGCCATTTTACAGCCAGGAACACCGAGGCCCAGAGGAAGGACTGACTTGCCAGGGGTGGGAGGAGAGCATGGGGTTGGCGTGGGCCCAGGGCGAAGCCTGAGGGAGCCCCCCTCTGCACCTGTAGGGCACTCATGGGCACCCGCACCTGGGTGCAGACGCTCCCAGATTGGGTCCCTTGTCTGGATTTTTCACTTTGCCACAATGCAAAGGGACAGGCGTTTGGAGCTCATCCTTGGACTAACATCAGGCGGGGGTGGGAGGGGCAGGTCCATGCTCCCCCCGCCCCGGCAATGCTATTGGCGTCCCCAGTCACCGTGTGACCCCAAGGGTGCAGTGTCGCTCAGCTGCGAGAGCAGGCAGCTGTACTCAATGCGCTTCCGACTCACGAGGGGTTCGTGGGGCTGCAGCCTCATTGTAAGTCAAGGAGCCCCTGTACCCGTAGGGACACGTGTGTTGGGGGGGTGGGGGTCCCAAGAAGGGGAGTCAGTAGCACAGAGACCGGGGCAGCTGGGGAGGTGGCTGCGGCCCCCGCCCATGTGATCCCTTTAGGCCATTTCTTCCAGGAGCCAAGGCTTCCACCCTTCCCCCTCCTGAGCAAGCACTGGTCGGCAGGCACCAGAAATGGATCGAACATCCCCATTTTCAAAATCACTGGAGCCACCACCAGACCTCACCTGGGGGGAAGAGACCCGGGGTGGGGCAGGGATGACCGCGCCTGGGTACCTTCTCGCCGGGCTGCTCCTGGCCGCGGTCCTGGGCAGGCCTCTTTCCAGGTGGCAGGTGCTTCTGCAAGATGGCGGCCACTTTAATGAGGATGTTCCCAAAGATGGCCGCCCCCATCAGCAGGCCCATGTCGCAGACCCGCAGCGCCGCGGTCACAGTGGAGGCCTCCCGGGGGGCCTGGCACAGGCACAGGGCTTTCAGTAGGCAGCCGAAGGCGTAGACGCGCCGCCAGTCCTTGTCCACGTCCCGCCACGGCCCCGTGTTGAGCCGCTCCCAGGCGTAGTCCAGCAGCACCTCGCTGCTCTGCCGACACTCGTCCCACCTGCCGCCGTGGAAGAGCTCGGCGGCCTGCCGCACCAGCGTCGCCACGCTCCTGTCCACCGTGTCACCCAGCTCCAGCCTCAGCTCATCCTGCGGTGGCAGCAGGGCCCTGAGGGCCTCCCACAGGTGGCCTGATCCCGCCAGAGTATCTGTAGCACCCCTCGCGCCGGCAGATGCATGCCTGGGGAGGATCACGCAAAGGTTAGAGCCTGGGCACAGACCCAGCCCGCACCAGCCAGCGCCTCCATGTCTCCCTGAGATCATCTCTTTTCTTTTCTAATAAAAGATTTACTTATTTATTTGAAAGGCAGAGTTACAGACAGACACAGATCTTCCATCTGCTGGTTCACTCCCCAGTGATTGGCTGGGCCAGGCCAAAGCAGGAGCCGGGAACTCCTGTCTGGGTCTCCCACAAGGACGCAGGGGCCCAACGACTTGAGTGCGCCACCCGTTGGTGGTGATTTGTCATAGCAGCAATAGAAAAAAGAGCAGGGTTGTTTCTAACCAATAGGACAAGGCAAAGGTGGTGATACCACTTTTTCTTTTCTGAGATTTATTTATTTCTAAGGCAGAGGGACAGACAGGGGGAGAGATGGGAAAGATATCTTCCATTTGCTAGTCCACTCCCCAAATTCCTGCAACAGCCAGGTCAAAGCCAGGAGCCAGGAACGCCACGCAGATATTCCTCGTGAGTAGTAGGAACCCAAGTCCTGGACTCATCGTCCACTGGCCGTCAGGTGCATTAGCACGAAGCTGGACCAGAGCAGAGCGACCCACCGATACGCGATGCTGGCATCACATGGGGCAGCTTAACAGGCTGGGCCACTGTGCCGGCCCAGGGACGCCACTGCCGAGCCTGGATTACAGAAGCCTAACTTGAACCTTGCGGGTACTCTCACTTCTGTCTTCCCGGCGTGCAGGCACCCTTGGTTCACAGCATGGATCCTGTCCAGTTCGCTCAGTGTGTGATGGGGCTGTGAGCCTTAGGGGCCTGGCACTAACCTGCCCGGCTGGTTCCTATCTCTAGCCTCCTAGCAGGTACATGGATGCCTCCTGTTGGTCTCAGGAGCCTTCTGGGAGCATTTCACAGTCCAACAGACCAGCGTGGCCCTTATCCACCGGCCGTACAACGCAGCATGGGGTACCGTTCACCCCCGGGATCCTCACGGCCCAATCAGAGTGTCTTACAGGGAAGCATCCAGAACACCTCCGAGGCCTCCTGTTTGGTCCTCTCACAGAGCCTGTAAAAGGCCTCCCCGAAGACCACGTTTTGTGGTAAAGGTGGCTGCTGCTGTGGCCAAATGTTCCAGCCTTGTCCACTGGTTTCGGGGGCCTCATGGGATGACCTCCCAGATGGTTCCAAATGGGCTGGAGACCCGTCTCCCGGGATGCAGATGGCGGACTTTGCAAACTGGCCTTCTAAGATGGAGGAGCTCACAGCCTCCCACGGCTGCCTCGGGGGCTGATCTGTCACCCAAGTTCCCTAGGTGGCCTCAGGGTGGGCCTCCGCGAACCAGCCCCTGCCCTGGGCAGCCTGGGGCCAGCCCCTGTAACTCGGCTGGGAAACGCGAGCTTCTGGAGCGGCCGATCAGACCCCACAGGAGAGACTCCGCCTGCAGCTGGGCGCCTCAGACTGGCTGCTCAGGTTTCCGAGGTCTGACCGCCTCTGCATGGGCCGCCTGAGTGACCGGAAGCACCAGCCTCCCACGGGGCTGTGTATCGGCGGCAGGAGGGGACCGGGCGCGCTGGCTTTCTTGGCCCTGCAGCTCCCACAGCCCTGGGCAGTTTGGCTGTTTAAACACTGCCATGTGGAACACACTTGGTGGCAGGAGTGTGCCAGAGTCTTCCAGAGTGGCGCTGCGACCCAGCTTAAACACCGGCTTCCCTGTAGCCTGCGGCCTGTCTGGGGGCGGGGCAAATGGCATTTGGTTTGTTTTTGCCCTCTTTTTCTTTAAGATTTATTTATCTGGGGGCTGGCACCGTGGCTCACTTGGCTAATCCTCCGCCTGCGGCACCAGCATCCCATATGGGCACTGGGTTCTAGTCCCGGTTGCCCCTCTTCCAGGCCAGCTCTCTGCTGTGGCCCAGGAGTGCAGTGGAGGATGGCCCAAGTGCTTGGGCCCTGCACCTGCATGGGAGACCAGGAGAAGCACCTGGCTCCTGGCTTTGGATCGACTTAGCTCTGGCTCTTGCAGCCATCTGGGGAGTGAACCAATGGAAGAAAGACCTTTCTCTCTGTCTCTCTCACTGTCTCTGTCAAATAAATAAATAAAAATGTATTTATCTGAAAGGCAGAATTACAGTCAGAGAGAGAGAGAGAGAGAGAGAGAGAGATCAACCTTGATCTTCTATCCACTGGTTCACTTCCCAACTGGCCACAATGATTGGGGCTGGGCCAGGCCAAGCACTTGGGCCATCCTCCAGGGTTTTCCCAGGTGCATTAGCAGGGAGCGGACTGGAAACGGAGCTGCCAGGACTCGAACCAGAGCTCACACGGGACGCTGCTATGGCAGGCAGCAGTTTAATCCACCATGCCACAACACCCGCCCCTGGTTTGTTTTTCAAGCCAGCCTTCCAGGGTGTAGTGTCAGGAATGTGTCCTGTTTGTCCTGTCAATCAACCCTCCAGGCCGCAGGCTGCAGCAGGCACCTGTCAGTCACAGGGGAAGGACTCTTCCCTCTTCCAGGAGGGAAGAGCCTTGGTCTGGCCGGGTGCACCCCATTCCTGTTCACTTCCAGAAGCAGCAGTGTCTATGCAACCCACACTGGGGCCGGCCCGCGGGGGGAAGGCTGGGTGGAGGTGTTGCATCAGGCGGTTTTCCATAGGAAGGGACCAGCCTAAGTAGCGCTGGCCCTGGCTTTGTCAATCAGCTTCCTGGAGCGCCTCACTGAATGGCTTTTTATAAGAGGCTATAAAAAAACCAACAGCCTTCCAGAGGGGGTCTAAGACAGGGGAGGCAGCCTTTCGGAGCTGAGCCAAAGGCTGGCCTCTGGACCGGCCTCCTGGGGCAGGTGCTGCAGACGGCAGGTTAACCTGCTACCTGGGACCCCCGGATCCCATCCAGCTTCCTGCTAATGCACACCCTGGGAGGCCGCGAGGACGGCTCAAGTGCTTGGGCCCCTGCCACCCACGGGGGACACCAGAATGCAGCGCCTGGCTCCTGGCTTTGGCCTGCTCCAGACCTGGCTGTCATGGCCATTTGAGGAGTGAACCAGTAGATGCACGCTCGCTCGCTCTCTCTCTCTCTCTCTCTCCCCCTCCCTCCCTTGCTCTGCCTTTCAAATAAATAATCTTTAAAAAAAAAAAAGTTTACTTTGAGCTGTACGGACAGCCTTCTAGCAGGGTTAACGGTATAAACTGTCATCCAAGCCAGGACACTGCTAGCATTTATCTCTCAACAAAACCTGAGTTTATCCCTACGGTTCCCCAAGGCAAGGCCACCTGTAAAAGCCTGAGGGGCCTCGTGGCCTCACTCTACAGCGGTCCACCTGAAAACACTGCTTGTTGGTTACGGAAGCAGCAGGTGGGGTGGGGGCAGGGACAGAGAAGCAGCTCCGGGGTCCGGCTGTGTCCTGGCTTTGGGGACTGAGCCTCCCCAGCTCCCCAGGGCCTCATGAAACAGCGCAGTTATCAGCGCAAGGCTAGGTACAGCTGCATCAAACAGCAGAGCTAAGGATTCAGCCCCTAAAAGTTCATCCTGAAAACAGGGTCAGGAAGATTTTACAAGGGGCGGAAGCCACCGCCTGCGACACCAGCATCCCACGTGGGTGCCGGTTTGAGTCCTGGCAGCTCCACTTCTGATCCAGCTCCCTGCCGATGCAGCTGGGAAAGCATGTGGGTCTCCCCTGCACCCACATGGGAGACCCAGATGGAGTTCCCGGCTCCTGGCCCAGCCCTTGCTGTTGTGGCCATCTGGAGAGTGAACCAGCAGATAGATCTTTCTGTCTCTCTCCCTCTCTGTAGCCCTGCCTTTCAAACAGATATTTTTTTTAAAAAAAAGCTTCTAGGAACTGACCTGTCGGGGTGATTCGGCTTCTTGTTGGTTGTGTTAAAACAAAGGAGCCAGGCGCAGATGCACACACAGGGGGAACAGCTCAGGCTGCGAGTTCCGAAACCCCCACCCACCCACCAAGGGGTCCCCAGGCAAACAGGCCTGCTTTGCTTAGCGAACAGCCCAAGTGGGCACCTCCCAGGGCCGACTGAAGATGGCAGGGTGAACCAGCCCCTCAGACCCACACCACGACACCCGCAGGGTGTCGGGCTGTGCGCAGGCAACAGACTCCCTCCCTGGGAGCACCACGTGGGCGCGGACGGTTCCAGTCCCGGCTGCTCCACTTCCGACCCAGCTCTCTGCTAGGGCCTGGGAACACAGCAGAAGATGGCTCAAGGCCTTGGGCCCCTGCACCCACGTGGGAGACCCGGAAGAAGCTCCTGGCTCCTGGCTCCAGTCTGGCCCAGCTCCGGTCCTTAAGGCCATTTGGGGAGTGAACCAGCAGATGGGAGTTCTCTCTCTGCTTCAAACTCTGCATTTCAGTGACATAAATTTCGAAAAGGAAAAAAAAAAAGGGCACAGGATTGCTCTGCTCCTAAGGCGCTGGCGAAGCCCCTGCACCTGTCCACCTCCCGGTGTCTAGATGGAATAAGCGGCCGAGACAGACAGGACACCAGCGCCAAGACTGAGACCCTGTGCAGGCGTACTACAGCCGCAACGAGTCGACACCAAGAACTGCGCAGGCGCACGGCCACCGACCGAGGACTACAAAAATGCCCTTAGAGGAGCAGCAAGACGCATGCGCGAGGACTTTCGCCCTCTGCGTCCTCAGCGCATGCGCGGCTCCAAGCGCCAGGGCTTCCCAAAGCGCACGCGCGGGGGCCATGCTGTCCCTCGCTGAGCGCCCTCGCTGGGCGTCTGCGGGCTCCTTCCCCTCCCGGCCTGCGCTCTCCGCGCTCTCGAGCTTCTCAAACGAACCTCTCGTCCTTGGACGGTGCTCCCTCTTCCGCGGGGCTGGCGACGACTGGTTCCATCGGGGCTGAGCTCCTTGGCGCTCTTCCTATGAGCAGTCAGGCTAGCACGAGGACTTCCGATCACTCAGCTCCTCCGATCACGCCAGGGCGCCTAGAGGAGCGCCGAGCGGTCGATGCCGGGGCCCCGCCCCGTCTAGTTTAGAAGGCGGGAGGCTGCAGGCGCGTGGGGTGGGGCTGGGACTTTCCCTTCGGCGTCACGTTCCCACGGTTTTTCCTCTGCGGCGGGAACAGTTTTGTAGCCACCATTTCAGCTTCTACAGCGGAGATGATGAATTCTCCCCATTTTGTAAAGAAATAAAACTGAGGCTGAGTGAAATAAATAAGTGACCATCTGCCTGTACTCAGGAAAAGCCACGGGCGCACGAGCAGGTGCGGCGTCCAGGGCGTGTGGGGTGAGAGCCACCTGGGTCTCAGCGCAGAGCAGCAGGCAAGGGACCAGGCGACACTGCCCCCCTGCTCCTGAATGCCCAGGGGTGCGGGGACCATGGGGCTTCTGTGTTTGGTGCACTCGCTCGTTGGGGGTGTGTGTGCGGGGAGCGACACCGGCCCCTTGCGGCCTTGAACAGAGGCAATGCAGAGATCTCACGCTGGCTGTGGATTCTGATACCTGGTCACCAGCGTTGCATCGGGCAGTGCCTGCGTTCCTAACCCTGAATCCTTTCGGCAATCAATCTCGGGTCATTGTTTCATTGACAGGTGACAAGCCCAGCGCTAGCTCAAGGCCAATTCAGTATTGTTTGCATTATAGGAACCAAAAAGACATATAATAAAAAAAAAAAACCCTAAAAAATACTAAGGTCGTGGCCACCTCTTATCCTAGTGATGGCCCCCAGTGCGAGGTTTCACGCGGAGTTGCCGCCTGACGGGGACAGCCATGAGTTCTGCCTGCGCCCCGTGTCCTTGAGAAACAGTGATAGTGAAAGGAACTCCTCTCGCCCTTTTGTGGCCCCCCAGAACATGGCGCAGGTGCGAGGAGCCACGTACCCCTAGGTCTCAGACTGGGGGATGCTCCCGTGGTTTCCCTGGGCCTCCAAGCCCCGTGCTTTGTCTCATAGATGGTTTGCCAGGCCATTTGTCCCCGCCAAAAAGAACCACCTGGGACCCCCGCAGCCCATAGCGGAGAGCCTGCTTTGCGTCCCGGCTACTTCCGTCTCCGGATCCCGCTTCCTGCTGACGCGCCAGGGAAGGCAGCCCGGGATGGCCCAGGTCCTTGGGCCCACGCCACACGCACGTGGGACACCTGGATGGAGCTCCTGGCCCAGCCCTGGCTGCTGGAGGCATTTGGGGCGTGCACCAGCAGATGGATACAAGTTCTCTTTCTGTGTTACTCTGTTTCAAATATATGTTAAGGGGGAAAAAAGTTTTTAAAAAAATTGCTAGTGAGTCTAGCTCCGGTTCAGCTTCTGTTCTTCCCTCAGGCGGCTGAACTTGAGCCCACCCTCAGCCTGAGCCGGCACGGGGCCCCTGCTGAGGACACACTGGCCATGCGCTGCAGTCCTATCCAACCCGCTGACCCATCAGGCCAGGCGTTCATCCCACTGCTGGCTCCTGGTCTCGCTCAAAGCTCTTCTCGGCTAACCCCAGAGATGCTCGCAAGACCTTGCAACAGCCTCTCTTGCCCCGTGCAAGAATCCTTTTTGAATAATGGTCTCTTATTTCCTAAGAAACTAGAGGCTAGAATAAGCCTATCCCCCAAGCCAAGGGCCAAAGGAGACTGGAACCCAGCACCCAGGTTCGGGCAGTGATCATAAGGGTGGGACCAGCACGAGCTTGTTTATGTCTTCGAAACCAACGAGTCGAGTTGCATCACTGGCCCAGATGCAGTGCTTTTGCAAAAGCAAGGAGCTCGGGTTTCTCACACGGGGGGTGCGCTTCCTGTGGTCTGCTGGCAGCCCCCTCCCCTCCTTCCTGGCGGCCTCAGACTGGCCATCAAGCTGACAGAGCCATCTGAGTGTCATGAAAGGCGCAGACTGAACAGACCACAGGCGGCATTTACGCCTAGGTTTGTCGTCTTTATCCATTTGACCAGAAGCCTGTAATTTAGGTATTATCCGAGTGTTCTGGGAACATTTGTGGCTTCGTTATCAAATTTATTAAGAAGACACACGTACAAACACAGCTCCAGACTTGACAGCAACATTTGTCTGGGCCAGGAAAGAGACATTTAATGGATTGCAATGGCTTGGTCTCCTGCCACTCGCCCCTGGTCCCCCACTGTCCGTGTCTTCGTCCCATTCAGCAGGTGCACCTCTCTGCCTCAGCTGGGAGCCAAGGCCCCCAAACGGACCTTGAGTGAAGGCAAGAACCAGGAGGCCGGGTTCCTCTGGGGACCAAGGCAGACGGCCTGGGTGCTCGCCTGCCCTGTGGACCTCAGCATCTTCCTCTGTGGGTTGGGTATGAGAGCCTCCCTCCCATGGAGGTAGTGAGGGTTAGGTGAGCCAGTCTGTTCTATCTGTCCCACAATCCACTTGTCGCCCCCCTGCTGATGGCACAGGTCCTGTTTCTTCCTCTGTAGCGAAGATTTAACTTACTTGCAAGGCAGAGTGACAGATCTTTCATCCCCTGGTTCACTCCTCAAATGCTAACGACAGCCAGGGCTGCATCAGGCTGCAGCCAGGAGCCGGGGACTCCATCTGGGTCTTCAAGCGGGAAACTGGGTGGGAAGTGGAGCAGCCAGGACTCCCAGCGCTGCGACGTGGGATCGTGGGACACCGGCGTCGCAGGTGGCAGCTTAACCCACTGCACCACAATATGCCGGCCCCAGACACAGGTACTTGGGCAGCTTCTCTGGGGAGTTCCATCCAGGAGCTCTGGAGTCGGGCCCCGGAATCTGCATGTTCACCAGGCTCCCAGAAATGCAGGGGTAGGTGGCAGCTTTCTGCTGCTCGGAGAAACACAGCTCCAAGCCCACCGCTGTGGGGAGGCCTGGAGTTGCCAGTGGCAGAGGCCCTGACAGCCACATAAACCAGAACTTCTCTGCCGCTACCCAGACTGCGTGCCAGGCCAAAACTTCTGGCCGGGACAGGCTCAAGCTGTAGCGGCTTCCTAACAGCCCCGACACAGCTATCCCAGCCTCCTCCAGTGCCCCCAGGAGAGAACCTTTGAAGCCCCTGAAAGGGTCTTACTCAGCCTCTCCCTCCACCCCAAGTCACCCTCTGCTTGTACATTCAACAAATATCTGAAGACAGTAGAAAAAAAAAAAAAGCAATAGCAAAGAAAAGATGATTTCAGGACCGGCTTTGCTTGTGCAGTGAGCACAGACAGAGGAGACCAGGAGCGGGGTGGTTCACCGCGATCTCTCTCCTGCAGGGATGCAGGCACATTACACCGACTGGAGGTGGCCTGCTTGGAGCTTGCTGCCAGTACTGCCTCTCTCCACCCTGGTGTCTCGGACAAGCTGAGTCTGAGAGTGCGACCAGCTCCCTCTTTTTTTTTTTTTTTTTGGACAGAGTGGACAGTGAGAGAGAGACAAAGAGAAAGGTCTTCCTTTTGCTGTTGGTTCATCCTGGACCAATGGCTGCTGTGGCCGGCGTGCTGCAGCCGGTGCACCGCGCTGATCCGATGGCAGGAGCCAGGTACTTCTCCTGGTCTCCCATGGGGTGCAGGGCCCAAGCACTTGGGCCATCCTCCACTGCACTCCCGGGCCACAGCAGAGAGCTGGCCTGGAAGAGGGGCAACCGGGACAGAATCCAGCACCCTGACCGGGACTAGAACCCGGTGTGCCGACGCCACAGGCGGAGGATTAGCCTAGTGAGCCAGGGCGCTGGCTCCCTCTTAAATCTTAATTTGCTCCTCTTGGGGCTCAGGGCAGGAGGCCCCTGCCACCCACGCTGGGGACTGGACTGGAGTTCCTGGCTCCTGGGAGTGAACCAGTGGATGGATGACCTCTTTCTCCCCCACCCCACCTCTCTCTGCCTTTCAAATAAATACAATTAAACATTGTTCAATGAAAGAGGAGGAGGGTGCAGTTTTAACAAATGTCCATAAACCCTTTGATGCACGTCCTATTGAGAGATAGGTGGGGGTCTAGGCCCCTCCCCTGAGCCTGGCTGCTTCCACCAGTGGGCTGTGGTGGAGGTGACCCCTGCGGGAAAACTTGGGAGCCAGGGCTGTGGCAGAAGAAGTCCGACCACCCAGGCTTGTCTTTGTGTCTGCCCAGTGCAGGTGCCCGGCATGTGCAGCCTTCGGAACACTCCAGCATCTTCCAACCCAGCCCTTAGACATCACGAAGTGGGTGCAAGCTGTCTGTCTGTGCCATTTCCAAGCCCACCAAGTCTGCAAATGTGCTGTAATTTTTTTTAAAGATTTATTTATTTATTTGAAAGGCGGAGTGACAGAGAGGCTGAGGCGGAGAAAGAGATTTTTTCCATCCACAGGCTCACTCCCCAGATGTCCACAATGGCCGGAGCTGTGTTGATCTGAAGCCAGGAACCAGGAGCCTCTTCCGGCTCTCCCATGGGAGTGCAGGGGCCCAAGGACTCGGGCTATCTTCTACTGCTTTCCCAGGCTATAGCAGAGAGCTGGATCTGAAGTGGAGCAGCCGGGACTCGAAACGGCGCCCATATGAAATGTAGGCACTGCAGGAGGTGGCTTAACCCGCTACACCATAGCACTGGCCCCCTGTCATTGTTTTTCTACCTGTCTAAGTCTTAGGAAAGGACAGTGACAAATAACTAGAGCTGGGGTACAACAGCCCCCCTTATTTATGGGGGTATCTTCCAAGACCCCCGTGGGTGCCTGACACCACGGGTCATGCAGAACCCTATAAATAGATACTTTTTCCTACACTGTGAAAGCTAGAAATGACATTCACCATAGCTAAAACAGAGAACAATACACTGTAACAGAAGTGATGGGACTGTGGTTTCTCTCTCTCTCAAAACACTTATTGTACAGTGCTGGCTGTGGTTGACCGCGGGTAACTGGAAAATGAAACCTCAGATAAGGGAAGAAGCTGTCATTCTGATACCTTGCAGGGGGCGGGGACTCCTCCAGGCGCCGGAAGCTGCCCATGTGCAGGGCCGGAGGTTGGCGGGACTCAGAGCCAAGTTTCCACAGGTATGAGGGTGGCTGTTGGAGGTGTTTTCTTGGTATCAAGGGAGGGAGCACTGCGGGGTTGCTCTTGTCTGGTCTTTCCAGCAGGAATTCCAACCATGTTTGTACCTGCACAGGCAATGGAAGCTTTGTCCCAACTGCTACCTGGTCTGCAGCGATGACACGGTGACTTTTTTCTTATGAGTTTTTTTTTTTTTTTATTTGAAAGGCAGAGTTACAGAGAGAGGAGGAAGAGAGAGAGAAAGAGAGAGAGAGAGAGAGAGAAATCTTCTATCTGCTGGTTCACTCCCCAAATGACCACAACGGCCAGGGCTGAGCCAGGGTGAAGCCAGGATCCAGGAGCTTCTTCCAGGTCTCCCATATGGGTACAGGGGCCCAAGGACTT